CATGGATAATTAATTTTAGGCGATCAATAATTTTTCAATTTCTTCCCTCAAAATGAAATTACGAGATTATTAGGACTCTTCCCACTATGTCCATCTCAAAGATGAGACGTAGAAGAGACTGGCTACGGTACGCTTGTATACATTAAGGATAAGAATAGATGTCCCGAGTGCTTATCAGGAAAAAAGCAGTTATATTTTTATTTTATTGTCTTGTCGCCTTCATCTCTGCAAGAGACTTCTGTTAACCAACTTTTAACTAATAATACTTCTGAAATTGAACCTTGCTCTGCCATGTAGAAGACTTAAAACAGGAAGACCAATAAATTTAGTATCTAACTCACATTTGCAAACTCTTCAGGAATTTCATCATTGTATGTGGCATCACTGAGAGTATCCACTGCATCGATCCAATCTTCTACTGCATATTGATAGTAAGTCGCTGCAGTATTATCATTCATAGTTGTTGAAGATGTGCGCTCCCTGAATATGTAAAGCAGTAGTTGTATTATTTCAAATGTACCTAGCAGGAAGAGAATTAGTAGAGCTGACTTTATAAAACTAGTGGCCTTCCCAAGAGGGGTCAAATCTACAGCTTTATTGCGTCTACAATCGTCTCCAATAACTGCAAGAGCAAGCCCGTCATTTGTGCAATCATAGGACTGAAAGTTTATACAATTACATTCAAAGGAAAACAATAACCTAGTTATATAGCTCTAAATGCAGGAAACAGAACTTTTTTTGAAAAGCGCTTCCCCATTACATTATGAAGTACGCATTGACTTTTCCACTCTAGGGTAAGTTTCTTATCAATAATACCACTCTGCCACTTAGTCAGTTAATCGTCAATCTAATGATAATGGACAGTTGTTACTCCCATCTGTTATTGAAAGGCGTTACCGGCTGCTCGATCTTATTTTTGGCTCTATAAATATTTCCAGGAAACAGCTTCGCAAAAATGTTGAGAGCCGCAGTGGTAACCAGCCTCTAAAATTACTGTTTACCCAGGTAGACCCTTTTCGCGTAAGCCCGCATAAGCCACCATGTATAAGACCGATTCCGTGTCTCTTGAGATAAATATTTTTCCTTTCTGGCCAAACTTCGCAAAAACAGATTACCTATCGATATAAATTGAATCGTATTAAAAGTCCAACTAACATTACTAATAGCTAACAACTAAACTACAAATACTATCATCTGGCCTTAGTCCTCCATCGATGAGCCAATCATCCCATATTTGGACTTGGTTTCACATCAACTCCATCAGGAAGAGCACCTTTTAGATGGTTTTGCTTCAGAACTTAACGAAGATTATCGAAATCACGTTTGAAATAATTTGTTTGTTGCCTTCCGACGATATAGGTTTCCATCATATTAGAAAAACTAATTAGACCTTATGAGTGGCTTTTGAAGACCATCTTATGACGCGCAGCTAGTCCGCAACCAAATACGAGCGGCCTTATACTTGGGGTTAACAGGATGATACAATGTGTCTCATGCTAAACGTGAAAATTAAAGAAAGGGCAACTTTTAAAAAGCAAAAAAACCTATCTTCGGTAACATGCCCTTTAAAAAAAGAACTCGACTAATTATCTAATTCTATTTGTTGGCACAACTTTGCAAGCAACAATGATACATTACAATGGGAGCAAAATCGACTAGCAGGACAGTTATTTGGCTGAAGCATAAGGGCTTTCTAAGGCCATTTACCACAAACGCAGTTGATCGACTTTATATTTATTCGTTGTTTGCTTTGTTTACTCTTACTGCTATCTACTGTTATCCTTTTTACAAGATAATTAAGCTGGCCATCTCATATACCTTCATGTATAGATGATATGTGAGGGGGTTAGTAATTTGCTCCTTTTCTCTTGCTTCTAAATTCCGAAGCAATTGCGTCACCAGCAGTTGAGATTTGGGTCAAATAGTGCTAAATTAGAAGGTTTGATAACAAAAAACCTCACCACACGGAACATAGTCTGTGATTTTGGCCCATATGTGCCCGTAGCAACCGCTTTCCGAACATCATTATGTAGATCTACGGCCTTGGTTGAAAGAGTACTGTTGGGATCACACGTTTCTGTAAATTTTGTACAGGTGCTACATTTTCATGACTTTTAACCTTTTAGTCTTCAAGGATTTTTCTCTAATTGCCATATTAGCAAAGACATACGGAAACTCCATGACACGCAGTTGAGCAGAAGAACTAACTAAAAGTTCAGCATTACCTAAAAATTCTCTAAGAGGATTATCCATCTTACCGCAGGAAGACGGTGCATCCTACGGATCAGTGGTGCGCAGACCTAAAAGTCGAATTATACACGCTTTCTTCCCATTGCGGGCCCTTTTATATGGCAATAACAAAAAATATCGTTCCTTATCGGTTGTAGAAGAACTCTTGATGCATACGTGCTATCAAACAATTTTAAACGACATTATTTTACGGCATAATTTCTGATTTCAAACCAAAAGGCATCCAAGAAGTCAACGGTAAAATCTATAAATGTCATTTTTCAAATGGGAAGGACTTTGCTTTCAAAAGAGAGGTGTATTGAAAAATTTAAGCGTTGGTGTCATCTGCCCTTACAAAGCAATCCATGAAAGTTTTCAATTTCTCTACACAATAGCTTCTTGTAGGATGAGTCATTTAGTGCTTCTCAAAATCGAATTGAAGTAGTCATGCAAAAACATCTCAGATGAAGCTTCTATCTTATAGTAACAGATGTTAGCGGAATTGACATAATTCTACCAGGTTCAGGGATATCTTGATGATTTTTTTTCTGAAAAGAAATATATCAAATTTTGAACGTCTATCATCATTATTTTATCCTTTTTCTGTAGCTGGACTACCGCTATCCTCTTATTGTAACGTGCAATCGGAGGTATATGTTCGTGTGGAACAAATATTCGGTCACTACAAGATTTGCAACTAAAGGGCACTTAACTGTGATGGAAAAGTGGGATGGATGGAATTTCTTGTTACCCACGTCAAAAAAGTAAAACAGAATCATTGCGAAGTCTAAATGAAGTTTTTCATAATCACTCTTCTGCGCTTTTCTCTACCATCGTAAGACAATAACAGTATTGAATAGTGAATCAAATGAAGACGAAAATTAATATATAATGAGTAATGTTGAAGGCCGTTTCTCTCATAAGAAAATATTTGAACATTGTGACACATCTGACCAAACTATTTGAAGAGACAGCTCGCTGCAGG